AGAAACATCGATGAGAGAGAAACATTGATCCGCTGCCTCCTGCACACCCCCCCACTGGGGATGTGCCCGCAACCAAGGTACATGCCCTTGATGGGAATCGAACTTGGGACTCTTGAGTCTGCAGGCTGATGCTCTATCCACTGAGCCAAACTGGTCAGGGCTGAGAACTGCTGCTTTAAAGGATCTCACTCAACCTGCAACTGGGGCAGCAATGAGCAGCGATAGCTCATCCCGGGCTAACCCCCTGAACTGATGCTCAAGTCCTTCTTTTCTCTGATTTCCCAGTGAGCTAACAGCAGGCCCCTTATGCTCATTTATTTCCCACAATGTTTCTAGGAGCCAAAGGAGCCCAGCCTCATCTCTCTGCTGTTCCTTGTTCTATCCTAAGCCCCAGTTTTTCTTCATTATGCCCAGCTTTAATAAGTATTCCCTCAAAATCTCTGAACTCGTGTTGTAAAATATTTTGTGCATGAAGTCAAGAATTCAAACACTATAATGCCAAGCTGAGGCAGGCCAGCTCCAAGCTGGTTCCTATTTCCTAAAAGTTATGCCTGGGACATCCTGTATAAAGACAGAACAAGGCATGATTTTGCTCACAAGACTTGGAAGAAAACCTGATGACCCACACTCACCTTGCCTCTGTTGAGTCAACTCGATCTTAACACTATTCATTTTTTAAATGTCTTTATTGACTTTTTGAGAGAAAGAGAGAGGAAGAAATATCAATGATGAGAGAGAGTCATTGACCAGCTGCCTCTAGCACTCCCTCTACTGGGATGGAACCCCCAACCTGGGCATGTGTGTTGACCTGGAATCAAACCAGCGATATCTTGGTTCATGGGTCTACACCCAAACATGGAGCCACACTTACTGTGCACACTAATCTTTTTTATTGTTCACTCTATTACAGATGTTCCCAATTTCCCCCTTTTTCTCCCTCTACCCTGCCCCCACTGCTTCTAGGCCCACACCACATTATTGTATATGTCCATGGGCTGTGCATATATGTATATACATTTAAAATATTTTTTTTTGATTTTAGAGAGTGGAAGGGAAAGGGAGAGATGAAAAAATCAATGTGAGAGAAAATCACTGATTAGTTGCCTCCTGCACGACTCTAACCCCACACTGGGAATTAAGCCTGCAACACATGTATGTGCCCTGACTAGGAAAAGAACCAGTATCACATGACCTCATCATTCGTGGAATATAATGAACAGCATAAATTGATGAACAAAAATAGATTCAGAGACATAGAAGCCTCGAACAGACCAACACACTTCAGAGGGAAGGCAGGGAGTTGGAGGGGTGGGTTAGAGATCAACCAAAGGACTTGTGTACATGCATATAAGCAGTATCAATGTACACAGACTCTAGGGAGGTTAGGGCATGTGCTGGGGAGTGGGAGTGGCCAGGGAGAAGCCAATGGAAGATGAAGGAGACAAATGTAGTAATATATATAATATTTCAAACAATAAAGAATTTTTAAAAAGCTTATCTAATAAAAGAGAAACATGCAAATTGACCGTACCTCCACTACACTCAGAAGCCATGACAGTCAGGAGCGAGTATGCAAATAAACCCAACCAAGATGGTGGTGTCCATAGAGCTGGAGCGAACAGGAGACTTGGGTTACCTCTGGCAATGGAGGAAGCCAAGCTTCCCACCTGCCCTGGATGGCTGTGGGCTCCCCTCAAGGCTACAAAGTTTCAATTATAGAAGATAAATAAATCCCAGATACCTGCTTCCAGCCGCTGTGGCCTCCACTCAAGGAAGGTCTGGGAGCCTGGGTTGCCCGGGGCCGTGGCCAGCCTGCAAACAGCCATCAGCCCCTCACTCAGGCTGCCCAGGCATCCCAGTGGGGACCCCCAACCTCAAGGGGGTGTGGCCAGCCTGCAAACAACCATCAGCCCCTCCTCAATGCTGGCCAGGCACCCCAGTGGGACCCCCATCCTGAATGGGGTATTGCCAGCCTGAAAAGAGCCCTCATCCCCTCACCCAGGCTGGCCAGGCACCCCAGTGGTCCCCCACCCCTGAAGGGGGTGTGGCCAGCTTGCAAACAGCCATCAGCCCATCACCAAGGCTGGCCACACCCTCATGGGGTAACGGTCCCGACTGGGAGACTTGGCCAGACTGCAAATAGACATCAGCCCCTTACCCAGGCTGGCCACACTCCCTCCAGTGGGGACCCTCACCCTATGGGGGCGTGGCCAGCCTGCAAACCACCACAGGCCCCTTGCAAAGGCCGCCCACGCCCCAAGGGAATCCCCACCCTGATCTAGGACACCCTTCAGGGCAAACCAACAGGACCCCGCCCATGCACCAGGCCTCTATCTGTACTAATAAAAGAGTAATATGCTAATTAGACTGGGAGACCTTCCAGGAGACCTTCCGGACATTCTTCTGGACAAAGCCATGGTGGCAGGGCCGAGGTAGAGGCGGTTAGAGGCCAAGAGGGGAGGGCACTTGTGGGTGATCAGGCTGGTGGGGAGGGCTGGGCCGTTAGGGGGTAAGCAGACCAGCAGGAGGCCCAGTTGGGGGCAAGCAGGCCATCAGTGGGGGTCAGTTGGAGGTGATCAGGACAGCGGTGGGGGGCAGTTTGAAGTGAGCAGGCCAGCAGGGGTGCAGTTGAGGGTGAGCAGGCCAGTGGCGAGGGAAGGTGGGGGCAAGCAGGCCAGCAGGGGGGGCAGTTGGGGGTGATCAGGCTGGCATGCGGGAATTTGGGGGCAAGCAGGCTAGTGGCGGGGGCAGGGGGGGGG